TGGTGGGTAAGTGTGTGTGTGTGTGTGGCGGGTGGTGTGGTGGGGGGTGTCAAGCAAGAGAAAGAGAAAAACAGTTTAGTCTGTTCTATTCCGAAAAGGGGAGAAAGGCAGCCTCAAATTACTTTGGCTGGGACATGAAAGTGAAACAGGGTGGCGGTTAAGAGACGATAGCACTTAAAATCCAGCTGCGACCGCCAAGCCAATAAATGGAAAAAAGTAGGGAGCAGTACTTTTAACCTTTTAAACCAGCATTTGTGTACTGCTACTGTTGCTTTGGCGCTGGGAGTGGCCCGGTCCCTGGCACCTCCCGTCTGGGCCCGGCCCATTATGGCCTCTTGGGGTTTCCAGCCTGTGGTGAAAAAAGCGTACTGGATGCCTTAAACCACTAAAGCTCTCATTATAGTCTAAATGCAGCGCGACATAACTCTTGCCAGCTCCAAGGTAGGAGCTCCAGTATTTAAGCTCATCGTTGTCTTAGCTCAAAACCACGACTTTCCCCCCTGCACATCCAGTTAGAAAAAAAAACAGCCACTTCCACAGAACCACATCACGAAGTCTACCAGCTATAGTTACTGGGACCTCATGTGCATGGAGATGAAGTTCAAAGGTGAAACAGCTCATGGGTGTTGGGAAACTATATCCTCTTCTTCCTGTCACTGGATTCAGGGGATGTCCCTTCTGGGAGGAAGTAGGCGAAAGCCACATTATTCCCTCTGGTTCTGGCCGACGACAATATGAGTTCCATCTGGTCCTCTCGATGCCCCTGCCACGTCCCTGCTCTTCACTCACATGCTGACAGCAGATGTGCACTCATGCAGTGCATCGCGGTTCATCTTGCTACAGGAAAGACAATTTTGGCGTCCGGGAGACAATAGAAAATGATGAGAAGCAGAATGAGGGGTTGTGCATTGTAGAGTCCATTCAAGAAATCAGATTAAATCTTGAAGCATAGTGCTTTCAGTATCATCTGCTACTCGAGGTGGCCATCTTCACACCTGGGTGACTCAATGAAAACCCCTTTATCAGGGGACAACAACAAAAACAGTACTAATATCTGGCTTTTGTACTCAGTGGAAAAGGTTACAATCGCCATAAATCTATCGATCATAAATCGATCAATTAGATTTAGGATTTGAAAATTATAAAAGTAGGGTGATCTGTCTCTTCAATTTGTGTCAACCACAGACCTTATTTCGAGCTATTTTCCAAAATCCTATGGAGAAATTGCATTGGTTTTTGTCGAAGGAACCGGAAGTGGTAAAATGCTAACTTACTTCCGGGTTTTAGGACTGTGGCAAATATACAGTGTGTGATGCAAGTGTAAACAAAAATAGGTAAAAAAAAAAAGGTAAAATCACTTGACATCGGGTGTATGATTATAACTTGTAAATTGCAAAACATACACTTAATATACTCCATTAGGTGATCAGACTCCATTCAGACAACTGTTATTTTACCTCGCTGATCTTTGTTGAACACACTTTCTTCAAAATAGTCGGGAAACAAAATTATAAAAATCATCTTTAAAAACGGAAAGGTATACTTGTCTACTTGTAAGTGGAAAGAAGCATACAGCTCTTTTTAATGGATGTTCACAGTATACAACAACTGCAATTACACATTGATTTTGACTATAAGGGGACAAGTTGGTCATGCCATTATTTGCCTCATTTAACAGGCTTAGGTCAAAACTGCTGTTACTATGCGGAAAGGTTTAGCAAGATATCCATAACTGTGATGTTATGTAAAGTATGTCCAAGTCCTCCTTACCTTTGTGTCTCTACCAAAAAACTATTTATTATGGCCCAAAATGGTGCTGTTTATTATGTTATTTAACTATTTTTATTCTGGTAGTCTAACCAGGGAGTCTTTAAGTCAGGGACAAGACGTGAATACAATTATCAACATGTCAGGATGGACAACCTGCCAAGTACCAAGAATCAGAGTTAAGAGCCAAGGATGTAAATACACTCTAAAATTGTCTTAGGGAAATGCCTGTTGATACACAAACAAACACAGACATAGTCTCATGTCTTCACAGAGTGATTTAGGGATTGATTACTTTGCTATTAGCGAGTTGAACTGGAACAATCAGGGAGCTGGTTTGGGAAGCCTGGGGTTTGGCACTGTGGCCAGATCTGTGTCGTCATGCTTCCCCCCTTAGAGCAGAGGGAGAAGCTCTAATGCCCCCCCCCCCCCCCCAGGCAGCATTTGCCACTTTTTGCAGTATTCGGGCAGAGCTGAGTGTTAGCTTTAGGGAATTAGCAAAGGCAAGTTGGAGTGTATGAGCGGTGATCGTGGTTTGGTCCTTGCTGAGGAAACTTGCCAAGCCCCCTCTTTCCCCTGTATTTGAACCGATACCTGCTGAGGTCTGGCCACTGCTGTACACACAAGGTAACGCAAACCCCTCAGGGCTCTGTTCAAATAGCAGAAGAGAGGACTAGAAGGCACCATAAACCTCAAGCACTCTGTTCAAATGAACACGAGATAGCAAAGGCCTTGTAAGTGGGAAGAAAAGTCGACAAGTGCAATGGCTGCAGAGGTCAGTGCGGACAACTGGATGCACAGGAAACTGAATATTTATGTTCAACCTAATTCCTGTGTAAAACTATATCCTTTACAACACCACAGCAATTTCCCAACACGTTCCTGCAATGTTATTTCACAAGTTGAAAATATGCAAGTAGGGAATTTGATACCAGTTGAAAATTATACTCTTCAGGTTGTATGGTTTTTATTCATTGTCAGTTTCAACTTCCATAAATCTTTGATAGAATAGATGTTGTAAGAAATTCAGGGGAGTGCGTCGTGCTGGACAAACTGCCCCTCATTATAGCCTGACAAAATATAAGCTGCCTCTAAGTGGTCAGAAGCTATGTTAGCAAAGAAAGCAAACCTAAATAGATGCGGTTTGCGATGTAAAGCTGAGGTCTGACATTTCTGTGTGGTTACGGAGTGGCGCCAAATGGCCATCACTGTGTATAAACAGGGGCATTTTTTGTGCTGAGTGTCCCCTCCTTTGATCCCCACATATCGTCTTTATTTCAAAGTAAGAGGAAAACAAAAATATATATGTGCTCTGAAAAGATGCTGCTGAGTGGGTGATAGACATTGCTGCAGAGAGATAGAAGGAAGGTGGTGCAATGTTTTTAAAATACAAGCTCAACATATTAAGAGAAAGTCAAAAGTGATACAGACATTGCTGCTGAGAGATAAAAGGAAGGTGGTGCGAGATGTTTAAAGTACAAGCTCATCATAATTAGAAAAAGTAAAAAGTGCAATTAGTCGCCATCTGAACCCAGCTAACTCATGGTAGCGTGATGCAGAAATTCTACAACACTGTTGAGGTTTCTTGTGATGCAGCCCACCAGTACGCACTTGACGCAACATGGTGAACTTGCTTAAACTCAAATGTGTATTTGCAGCATATAAACAGCCCCCCCACCCCTCAACTCTCTGTCTCGCTCACCACAGGCTGCATTGTAACCCGGCCTCCCACCACAGACCAATGATCTCATGGAGCTCAATCGTTTCTTATGTCTGAGGTCACACTTCAGCAGATACTGACGTTCACACGACCAATGAAAACAATAACTCAACTGCTGTGGTTTGGTCAAGTATTCTTCATACGGTGACACCTCAGTGTTCATCTTGTGATGTTCCAATGTCAAACTTCACATCAGAAGAACCGTTCATAATGAAGCGCCATTCAATCAATCACAAGGGACTAAACTTGTTGGCTCAACAGTCAATCACAATCTTCATCTAAATTAACTTGATGTGCATAACATACAGTTTTATAGATACCTCCAGATATAAAAGCAACCACTTCAAAGGGATGATATAAATACTGATATAACTTAAAGTGGCTTTCCAACATTTAGGAATAGTTTATGATCCCATTATCAATAATAACCAGAACATGCTTAAGGTCAGTAAATAAAACATTTAAATCTGTGGCACATGACCAAACCCCAACACCTTTGCTACCTTACAAGCAGTTGCCAAGCAGATTGGGCAAGAATTATACAACTTCAAATAAACACTTGGTTCTGGGGAAAAGCTTCATATAAAAGTGACTTGTGGATCCAAGCATAGCCAGCTCTAGCCAAGTGCACTTGTCATGTTTGGGGCCAGGAAATGAAAGATGGAAACATGGAATCTTCTTCCACAATGACTACTTGTTTATCTATTGTTTGCATGCGTTTATAAAAGACTCATAAAATGGTTACATGTAAGGCTAAAACAAAAAACATGCTAGTGTTGATGACTGCTACATAGTAACAGCCTACAAGCGGCGGGACTAGTGGGTTAGTTTACACTTAGCTACAGTCAATACAAATAAACATATTCCACTAATAAAACCAACAATTCACATTGAAAACAGCATATTAGTCCAAAACTCGCCACTGGATATGAAATACAGCCAAAACTAAGCACAAATAGCAGCCTCATAGCCTTGTTGCTGTTGTTACACGCATGAAACCTGCTCGGTAAAGGTTTACTAACTTTGTGCAAGCAGTGGGAGGTTCGTTACTTTTTAGGGAAGCTTCCGAAACGCTCGTGTTTCGGGATTAATGCAATCAACCGTAATGTGCACAAGAGAGCTCCAGACATCAACAAAATAACCTGCAAGAGCATGTTTTCCCTGTGAATGAATTCCACAAGATAGGAGCCATCTTGTGACCGCATATGCTTGCAAGCTTAGTACCATCCTCTCTCTCTCTCTCACACACACACACACACACACACACACACACACACACACACACACACACACACACACACACACACACACACACACACACACACACACACACACACACACACACACACACACACACACACACACACAATATACAACTATTGTCAACCACCCAGCCTCTGTGGAAAAAGTTTTTAAAAGGGCAGCTTGATAAAATTACACCCCGCGTCCCGGTAGTATTGCTCGGGACTGCTGCTCGTCATTCCCCCCGTAAAGAAACAGACTTTACACGTACTTGAACGATCTCCCCCTCCGCGCTGATAGTGGCTCCTGCTTTGGAGAACCGTCCTTGCAAACCAGTCGTGTACGTAGTATAATCTCCATTGGGACTGGACTCGAACAGAACCACTTCCACAAAGGCAGTATCCTTGGCAAAAACCATACCAAGAGAAGCGGCAACCACGAAGATCACCAGGACCACCGCGTCGGGTACACGATCTGAGCCTCTCCGTGGTAAAATCATCATCTTGCCGGCTGGATCTTCGCCGATCGGGACATAATTTCACACGGATTTATTAATCGGGTGTAGGTACTCGATCTCAGGTCTACGCGGGCAACGGGCGATGCGTCAAAAAAAGGCAGAATTGTGCAATAAAAGCTGAGCCTGGGCTGGAGCGTGTTTATTTCACCACTGCAAGCCTTGTCAATTACATTGCCTGCAAACGCTCTCTCTTTCTCCCTCCCTCTCTCTCTCTCTCTCTCTGTTTCTTTCTCACCCCCTCCTCCTCCCCCTTCTACAAAGCGGATCTCCTTTGATCTCAAAACACGTGATTATTTTTTTAGGTTTTTTTCTCTCTCTCCCAAAAGGGATATATCCCCACCCACCAATCTTTCTGACCCTCTCCGTTGCACTCCCCACTCTGGAGTACCAGCACTCAGTTAAGGAGGCGCCGCAGATTTGGCTGCTCTGCAAATAGGAGGACTTGTTGTTCGGAATATACTAAAGTCACACGTTTCGGTTTGAGTAAAAATATGTTGTATTGGATTGATTGCGAAGCAGAGGCAACGTTTGCTCTGTTGTTTCAACAACGGGTATGAAAAGCCACCCAGTGTCCTTTTCCCACGAGTTTGACACGTTTTTGGCTGCAGTTCCACCTTAAAATAAACATTACCCTCTTCAGGACGCTTCATGATTTAACCCGGCTAATTTTTCAATCTGATTCAGATTTGCTCACCGAGAGGTCACAATATAGTAAACAGTTTGACTATTTTCATTTTAATTGAGATTTATATAGTTAGATTTTTTTCAGGAACATGTATTTTGATATATATACATATGTTACCAAAAATCTAATATTTTCATATTATTATCATGTATTTTTCCCTTCCAATCTGCCTTTCATTCATTAATTTAAATTGTTCTATTGCACATGAATTAAAGGTAATCCACATGCATATATACTTAATTTCAGCCATTTTACAAACCTCTTAATGTTTGAATGTAATTTGACACAAACAAACAAACTGTTGCTGTTTTTTTAATGCAGAATAAGACAATTATTTCTCAATCAGTCTTTGTTCAGTATAAAGAGTCTATTGTGAAACTTCCACGCTGAACAGTTTCTTAGGATCTTCTGCCTGGTGACTTTTTTCAGCCTGTCAGACTGCTCATTATGTGTCATTATGTCTGTTCCTTATGTGCAAATAAGAACACTGTGTCTTTAAATGACGCTTAAAGAATAGATACACACACACACACACACACACACACACACACACACACACACACACACACACACACACACACACACACACACCTTGCGCTATAGGTGATGATTTGAATCTTTGTGCAACTGAACAACTCATCAAAAGAGCTCATGGTGCCATGCAAGGGATGACGAAACTGTACATTGTTCTGTCTTTAAGTAACGAGACTTGAAGGCGACAGTGGACCTGCTATATGTTTTCAGTTTCACCCACAATGGCTTTTTTGTTTTAACATAATAAGGCAAAAAAATTGAAAAATACCACTTCAGAAAAGCCTGTTTCCTTTAGTTCTATAAAAAGTGGACAAATGAAGGGTGAGCTCTGCACAGTGATAGATGTAAAAAAAAGCCAAGAAGACAAGGTCTCATCTTGCTGTCAGCTGTGTGGCAGTGTGATAATGAAAACCAACTGTGTGGACTTTTTAGGTTCAAGAATGCAGAGAAAGAAAGCGTGATGGTCAACATGTGTTCGGACTCAAAGAAATAAGAAAAAGAAGGTGAGGAGGAAAACAATTCAAAGGCGAAACTCAAAAAGTTATTCAGCGCCTCCAGCACAACAATAATTCACTGATCACATTGGACGTCACTTTGTTTCATGAATCCTGATTCACAACATATGTCCAATTTCTGTCTTCTGACAATTAACGCTCTGTTTCAGTTTTTCTCAGGCATGCACATGGGGTACAGATACATTACATAAATACTTACAAGAAGGATGGAACTTTAAATGCACAATGCCTGCAAGCTCTGTTTTGACAGTCAATTAGATGCACTTTATCAGCTTGCTAATGGGACATAAAATGCAAGAAGGCAACAAGTGATAGGAATCCAATTACTCAGAGGGTCTATTTCCTCTTTTATTACAAGTCTGCCCTCTGCTGGTCCATAGGAAAATGTAAATCAAGTAATCTTTCATCTTTCATGAAAGACATTCCGAAGGCAAGTTGGATGACAGATTTTTTTAATGGCCCTCTGAATAAAATTCTAGACCAAAATTGGCCTGGACCTCAAATAAATAGGGTAAGGGACCATTTGGACTAAATGTTTATTGTAACATAATGCCCACATTCTTTGGCCCAGTGAAAACGTTGAAAAAAATGCAAAGTTGAGCACATGGAAAGGCATGCTGACATGACTAGGCGTTGGGTGAATACAAATAACATAACACATAAATACAAAAATAATATTTTGCTAATTATTTTTTGGGTTATATATTACGTTCTTTTTATTGATTTAAGATATTTTAATACCAAATAGTATGGCCTTACTTTTAGATTAATAAATTAAATACCTTTTGATACTTTTTTTATGGATATGCAGTAACACTGTATTTACAGGTTTTGCTTTTATTTAAACAATTACCTGTTTGGGGACAATCTGGCCCTTTGTTGTTAAACATTTTTTCTTTTTCCGTTTCCTTTTTGACAAATTGTTCCCCTCTTCTCATGAGGTTTTCATCTGGCAGCAGCTGTGGATCCTCTCCTGACGCCCCACTCTCCTTCTGCATCAGTGTGTAAACTCAGGCCACGCTGAGCAGAATCAGCTGTCCACATGTTTAGGCTGAGAGAGTGCTGAGGATGAGAAGGACTTTGAGAGGATAGCTGGCCATAGTTGTGGGAAGTTTTCTTTTTGTAGTTAAAGTCATAGCAGTAAGATTCATTGGCTAATTATGATGTTTCATGTGATATTAAATGACTGTACCGCTAATTTCTTCTCTTTTAATATCTTCTCGTTGAGTTAAACAGTTTCCTTCTGCTCTGACAACAAGTTGCTAACTAAAAGACAATTGGTAACACTTGCCTTTCAAGAGATAACTGTTATTAACAAGGAGCTTGTTGATTGTATCATTGGTATCATTCCAATTTTGAGGATGCTATTGACTTTATAGTTGCTCAATTGGAAGATCCTGGATATGTTCAAGGTTACTCACCGCTCGACATATACCTAAAGCAGGCGCACTTCATTTTTTAGGGAGGAAAGCTGGTCTGTTGTGTTGGATCTCTCTGTACCAATTGATCTTGTGAGCACAAACAACCCAAAATGTGGGAATGATTCAATTAATTAATAGCCACAAATGACAGTTTGTGCACACAAATAAATAAATTGTGACATTGATTTATTCAATCTTAAGCTCTATGGCTCTCTAAATTCTCAATGTATTTTTAACAAGATTTCACACAATCTTATCCAAAATGAACAAGCATTTTTAAAGTAATCTAATTTGAGTACTGGTTTTTAAATGGGAAAAGAAAATTGAAAATAATTGTTATTTATGTTTGTGGATTTATGCTAAATGTTTATCCCTATTCAAAGCCTACACCCGAGCTACTTCACTCTTTAACAGATTTCTATACATCATTATCATATAACTGATGATACTCATTGCCTGTGCAACCCCCCCTTCCTGCCTGTCGTTCTGAATACAGATCTGTCCTTAATTGACGTGCCTGGATAAATAAACAAATATGAAATGAACACAAGATCACGGGTTACTAATAATACCCAAAGGGAACGTTTGAGTGTGGTTGATCAGTCCATCAGTGCAGAACTATGAGTACCAAGTGGGCTCCCAGCCTCTGAATTGTCCCTTTGTTGGCATGGTGCTGACGTTATGTTTTAATGAAGAAAGGAGATG